TACTCACATGGACTCTACTAACCTATCAGAAGCTTCTTCAGCTCAGAATGGAATCGTCTGGAGTTTCTTATTAATTAACAAACTTAGTGTACATGTACTCCTAAATTTGATGAAAGTGATAAAAAATAGAAGCTCTGTCTCTCTTTATTCTGACATTTAACTAATTCAAAAGATATTTCAATATTTATCTAAAACAAAAGTTTACTCTAAATTGATGTTGTACAGTAAAAATGTTTTATGTTTTCTCCCTAAAGTGTAAATATCTGGTTACAAATGTGAATATCCTGCTGTGTACTGAAATCCCTCTTGTTTTGCATAGAAATATACTGAACAACATACAAAGCATAATATATAAAATAACATTTACCTGAGTTTTTTCTTTGAAAGAACCCTCTAATGTCCATTCTTATATTTCAGTACATAACTGAAACCGATTTAGTCGGGGAGGGTAAGAACTGAAAATATGAAATAAACACACGTAAGCTAAGACTCTCTAAAAAAAATAGCATTTGTTCGGCTTTTCATTTCGCCATTTGTTGATTCACTTGAAGAGCAAGTAACGTAATATTGGTCAAGTGATCAGTTTGATATCAATCTTTCGTGATGCACCGTCATATTTACATTATTTGTACGGTACGAATGATTTGCTTTGGTACCTGGTCAAACTTAAGCTCTCCTTAGTATGGCTGGCTCCGTTTCTCCAACAGCGCACTCACGGGCAGCAGCTGCCCCGCCCCCTCGCTCAGTCGCTTAGTGCCTGAGCTCGGATCATACCAATATCAGGGGGGATTCACGCACAGTCGTAAATTCCCACAGTGTGCACTATGTGCTTCGAATATTGTGTGTACTTTTTGTTTTATACAGTTGTCAGCCAGGCATCTAACTATGAAAAAATTGCACTCCAAAATACCCCGGGCTTCTGACAAAACAACCCGGGCTTAAGCCCAGTAAGCCACCCCCACGCTCCGCCCCTGGAGCATGATATGTCAAGGTTGGAGACCAGCGGGTACGAAATCACTACCCACTGACCCACTGATCAGTTCTCTGGAGAGTATTTTGCTCATTTATTTTAAAAAAACAAACAAACAACTTCTTGACCCCAGAGTGATAACAGAAGGGCCAGCTGGTTTTAGAGACAGAAAAAAGCTTTTGGTTTTCTCTGCATACCCATCAGGTATCACATTTTTAGGAAAATTGGGGTTTTTTGCTGCAGGCATCTTCAAATCGAAATCATTGCTCTGTAAACCTGAGCCTAAGCCTCGTACTTGGCGATCTTAAATAAGATTGTGAAGAATTATGTCATCATTTCTAGCACATTCCTTATTCCTCGCTCTTTCGTGTGTGAACGGGTTTGTGGTTAGATTGTGAAACTCTGGGTTATGTATCGAGTTGAAAATCCCCAAGTGTTATTTGGTTGGTCTAATTGAAGATGTGAGGGTAGGTGAAGCCAGATAAGGACGAGATACCATGAGTATGATGAACTCCCTTGCAACACAGGCCTGTGTTTATATGTTTGTGTTCAGTAGATGTGACACTGGTTCAGTGTGTCTATTGTTTTCATTTAATCATTACCGATTGAGTTACTGATTAATGTCCTGAGTTGGTGACTAACTGACCTCTGCTTGCAGGGCTCTTTTAGGAAAGTGAGCCTAGTCAGTTTCGCATCACTGCCATAAATCAGTGTATGAGCTGACAGGCCTCCAAGCTTTGCTCCATGTGGTTTTATTTCTGTACCAAAAGTATTTTTTAAGAAAATATGACTTGATCCAAAAACAATTATGTTTAGGTAGAAGGAAAGCGTTTCACTGAGTAACCAGTGACTGTAACTTATTAAAAATGTTACGCACTGGTTCATAGGTGGAGGTGGAGCTGCCAAACCACATGCGTCAGATGTCAGAGACGATCCGGGTGTTGGAGACAGAGCAGGTGGAGCTAATCAGTGTGCCAGTGCCCGAGTTTGAAGATGGAGACCCAGCTGACATCGTCCACGACTTCAGCCGGGTATGTACTTGAAAAGATGGAAATAGTGATGTTGACGCAAAGCTACGGTTGCACATTTAGAGGGATTCAAAGTAGACCAAACATCACCTGGAATAACATTCTGACAGCTTTAGAATTTTAGGAAGAACATGTGAGTTGTGAGTGATGCAGTGTCTGCTAACCAGCCAGTAGGAATTCAGCCTGAGATGATTTACCCATCTGCCAGCATAGGCACCTTTATGGGAAACTGTATGCAGATATATTTAGCCATTTAACATTTACATTTTAAAGATAACAAACTCAGCTTTCTATTCCGTTACTAGGTAAAGAAGAAGAAGAAAAAAAAAGCAAATACCAGTTACTTTTCTGTTTTCTAACTGTATTCCTTCTTTCTCAGAGGCTGACTGCTTACCTGGATCTGTTTCTGGACAAGTGCTATGTCATCCCACTCAACACCTCCATTGTCATGCCTCCCAAAGACTTTTTGGACCTTCTCATCAATATCAAGGTAACTGTGCAGGGTTCAGACCTATTTGTGTTCCTGTGCTGGCTTAAGCCTGGATTATATTTCCATAAATCTGCTGAGGTCCAAGTAACAGTTTCATCATCAGACAGTGAATTTGAGGGTCTGTGTGGATGTCTACATGTTTGCCTTTTTTTTTGTTTTTCTTTTAACCTGCAGGCTTGTCCCCACAGAATTTACATTACAATGCACCAACTACCCATGAGAAAGAATTTTAACAGGAATGACTTCTCGGTCATCAGGTCTCCTTCTGTCCGTTCCTTCATCCACTATGGAGTATAATCTAGGTTTTAGATGACATGATTTATAGCTGTCTTACATACTCAGATTTACCATTCCATACTTTCCCAGACATGTTAAGCAAACTAGTTCCTAACTGATGCTCGGGGAAGATGCTTTAACGTCTTCCTCGTGTAAAACACTTCAAACTGTTCCAAACAGCTGGGACCAAAATAAATGAATTGAAACCACCAAGCCGCCTGCTTTAAATTGCTATTTGCCATGGATCTATTAATACAGGTTCCGGTATTAATGACGATTAAGCAGAATCTGGCACTCCTCAAAGAAAAGAGATGTCCAAAAATTGAAATACAGAAACAAAAAGCGCAAGCTCTTACATATTTGCACCATGCTTTAAATAATTTGCATTTGGTTCCTCCCTTTGCCCAGGCTGGCACCTACTTGCCTCAGTCTTACCTGGTCCGTGAGGAGATGATGGTGACCGAGCGCCTGGAGCACGTCGACCAGCTCGGCTATTTCATCAACAACCTCTGCAAAGGCAAAGACACCTACAAACTGCAGCGCAGAGACAGGATTCTGGGTAAGCATGTCAGGCTTTCATTTAGGTTTAAAAATACAGAGATATAAGACTACAGATGCCAAACAGGAAAGGCAAAGACAAAATGCACTGCCATACAAATGTTTAGCAAGCATTAAGAGAGATTGTAAATCATTGCAACCTTTAATCTGTGTATTTGAATGTTTGGAAGTTCTGTGTACTCTTTCAGCAACATGAGACACGAAATGCAGCCATACAAGTTTATATAAGAGATTCTCTGATCACCTCACAGGTATGCAGAAGCGCGAGGCTCTGAACTGCCACAAGATTCGTCACTTTGGGAGTCAGTTTGTGGTGGAAACCCTGATCTGTGAGCCTTAAGACGCCTCGTCGCCTCACGACTGCTCTTAAAGTCACTGGCGTGCAGTGAGATTGTGTTTTTAATCCGCACCTGTCTATTGTTTCCTGTCCTTTACTTCAGGTAGTTTGAGTGAGTGAGCGTGGTGAAATGTGATGCTGTTGGGTGAATATTCAGTGATCCTAAAATTTAAAAAAAAAAAAAAAAAAAAAAGTGAAACATTGCGTTTTTTGTTTTATTTTCCAATTTCTATACAGAAATTATTTTCAGAGATAAATTAGCTTACAGCCAGCTGAGTATACAAAAGTAAATTATTTTAATCAAATTAACTGCAAACATAGTATCAAGCTCTTCATTAATAGACGTGGGTAAATATGAGATTTCCTTGCTTTCAGTTCACATATAACATTGTAAGACAGGGCGACTTTTATACCACTCAGTCCACAAAGACTTTTTTTGTATTTTGTCTGCTGTAGCTGTTAATACACTGCACTTGTTTTCTTAACTGGAAAATGATCTTAAAATAAGAGTGTAAATGCGCGCTTCTGCTGCTGAGCTTTAAAGTGTGTGAAATCTGATCGAAGAACACAATATTTTAATTCAGATGAAAGACAGCTCAGAGAAATAAAAACACGCTTATATTAAAATCTTTTTCACAGGGGTTGTCTGTCTTTTTATGAATGTGTAATTTTTTTTATTTTTATTTTTTTTGGATAACTCTTCTTGTATCAATTTGTGTATATGATCTATAAACATAAGCAGACATACAGAATAAAGAAAATGGTAGAAACTATAAATGGTGTGTTGTGTGTTTCTGTGCCAGAAGCTTCAGAAAAATCCTATAAACTTTTAATTGGTGTATATACACTAATAATTATTTTGACTGTATTTCTGTTATTGAGCAAAGGATCAGACTACTTGAAACCAGCAGTACATGTTTATTTTAGTGTGCCTAGGGCTGCCGCGATTAGTCGACTAGTCACGATTATGTCAAGTTTTAAAATCGTCGACGACTAATTTAATATTCGACACGTCGTTTGAAGCTTTGTAAGATCCCAAAAGACGCAGGAATAAGTAGTAGGATTTAAGAGTAAATCGGCTTGGCTGAGATTAAAGTTATAGTTTTTACACAGCTAAATAAACATCAAGCAGACAACTGATCATCAGAAGTGTGAGATGCTCGAGAATATACTCCGGTGTCCTGTTATATTTTAGATAGCGAGGAGCAGACGGCTGAGTTTATTAAACTTCACAGAAACAATCTGCAAATTTCATTAAAATTTAATAAACTATCATCTTGTCTTTATTTTTAGTTAGCACATACCTTAAACACTTAAAGCTGTAAGCTAATGATAGTTATATAAGAGCAGATGCATGCTGGTGCAATAAGCTGTACGTTTTACGTCCAGTGGATGCATGATCTGATTAGTCGACTATTCACAAAAGTAATCGTTTGTGGCAGCCCACTGTGGGCCACACTGGTGCATCAGCTCTACATCTTTTATGGGTTCTTTGACTTTAATGAAAGGTCAGATTATTTCTTCAGTCAGTGTACTGTTCACCACACAGTTTGTTTTCATCATACAGATCATAACTCATGATAAAGAATGTGACTGACAGTGTCAGTGGCCATGCTGTTTACAGTGGTGTCATCACATGCAGTCGTTACCTCAGTGAACTAACATAGATCAGCTGTCACAGTGGGCTCTCTGCCTGTGTGTCATAGGATCCTGGTGGAAATTTGTCTATGATTAAAGCACTAATCAAGAGAGCCCTAACCCAGGGGGCTCATGGGGAAAGCAGTGGATGGAAAGTCACCTTGATGGAGCAGGGAGGTGTTTGCAGACAGGTCATAAAAGCTGAGGTTCGTACAGTTACATCTGCTCTAAATACTGGACTGAAAAACTATTAGATTTCTTTGATGTCTGTTTTACGTGTTAAACCTTCATTATTGTTTCACTCATGTTTGCTAATTTCAACTTGTGTCTGCTTGTACTGATTCAGTTTAGGTCTTTTAGAGATGCTTTCCTCTTACCAACCTGTGCCAGCCTGAGGCCCTCAAACAGGAGCCTACAGGCTGTTTGTGGGTCTACATCAGGGGTGTCAAACATAAGGCCCAGGGGCAAGAATTGGCCCTGAAAAGACTCAATTAAGGCCCACTGGACAGCTTTCAGAAATGTAAAGGGGGTATAAATTTTGTTCCTACTGGTAAAGACATCCCCTATAACTATTCTCACTACACCAGAGTAATAAGTAATAGTTAAACAACCAAAGTTCCTACTTTTTTTTTTTCAATAATATATAATTTTTTTTGGGATTTTTGCTTTTTACAGTACATATAGAGATTTGTATTTTACATTTGCTGCATTTCACATTTATTCACAAATACACATTTTTCCAAAGGTCTAGCATCTATCCTGAACACGTCTATCAGTTTGTTTTTGCCGTCATTACAATTGGAGATATGATTACCTAATACCCCGTTCATAACTGAAGATGTGAGGATCCATTTTATATTGGAGCTATTCAGAGGATTACATCACATTTTTTTCAGACGGAGCAACACACACCATGAATAACTACAGACATGATGGCTGCCTGGAATATCAATCTGGGGTGTGAATGCTAAAATCTGACAAGAGAAACATGATCCGCCTTTGGCTCTGATCCCAAGTGGCAGACACCCAGTCCACTACATCTATTTACTGAAACATTTTTAATAACTACGCAAACGTAGTATAAATAAATGTTCTTATCTTAAAAAAACATCCAAAATTATACAGGTAAACATAAGATTTTTAGATAACATTACAATGCAGGTATACCAGCAAGTAATCGAAAGTAATATAAAGCAAACAATAGAAAATAATCTTCCTGTGTCCGTGTCCTGTTTATGTGTAAAAATAAAACCGAGTCTAGGTCGGGTACTGCAACAGGCGTAATTAGAGTGTACAGGAAGTGACATGCAACAGCTGCTTTGAACATTTTAATAGATAACCTGTTGAAAGTTAGACTTAAACGAAATTATAGACAAATACATTTAACAGGTAACCTTTTATATAATAATTGACATTAACATAATAATAAGAAATCCCCTTTTGGCCCAAATGTGTTGCAGTTTAAGTAGTTTACTGCGCAAATAAAAATGAACGAATGAATTAATGAATAATAGGTGCTGTAACACAACACTACAAAATGAAACTGCTGAGCAGCTTGGGAAATATAAAGGCTAAAGCTAATGGCGAACTCGCCTACAAAAACTACTACTCCCAGCATTCTGCGTGGTTTCCTTTCGCGCTTACCGTAGTTCAACACTTCTGAAGACAAGCGCTTCCTCTAATGACTTTATAAGTAATTTGCTGCCGTTTTCTTTCGCAATGTGACTTCTGCTTTTGCTACTTTTGAAAGGGTAAGTGCAGAGCTTCTGTGTCGCTAAAAGAGAGAAAAAGTGAGCACTGTCCTCCTCTTTGGTGAACTTGTGTTAAACGTGCTAAATTGAATGCTAGTAGACTGTGTTTCAGTCTCCATGGCAACGGCCTTAGTTCCGTCTGTGTTCGACGGCGACTTAATAATTAAGAAAAATGAACGCGTTAATAGTTGTTTAAACTTAGTCCAAATTGTTTAACCCTGTCACGCATAGTGGTCACAACAGTGGACCGCTATTCAAAGTCTGTTTTCTTGTATTTGTGTCAGTGTTGATGGTATACTTGCACATAAACCACTACATTGGACACTGATGCGCTCCATACCCTGCCACCCACTGGTCAGCAAGGTTTCCACCTACGTGGACATGTAAAAAACTCTTTGAATAGTACATGTTTTTAAAAAATGAAGTTCAAAAATCTTTTTTCATGCCCTAAAGATGAAAACAATACTTTAAAAAGAAAAAAATCCTAATTGAGGTTGCCATAATTCATGTATGAAAGGGTTAATAATACTGATTCGTTTTTTTTAAGGCGAGGGCATAGGAAAATAGCTTACACGCATTTATTTTATTTTGTTTTACCACCGTTTTAACATTTTCATTAATTTTTAAAATGAGAACAAAAAGTTTACTATTTTACTATTTTTTTTTCACTATTACTCAGTCTCAGTGAGTTTGTGTTTCATCAGCTAAACCGTTTGCCCCTCATATTGTCTTCCAGGGGCAATGAACGACTATGAGGTTATCAGACAGATTGGGCAGGGTGCATTTGGAAAAGCCTTCCTGGTCAAAGACAAAGGGGGAGGTGGAAACACACAGTGTGTGGTCAAAGAGATCAGCCTCAGGAAGGTACAGCAGCATAGCTCAGTTTCACTACCTGCAGTTGCTGCCTGGGATCAGGAAAACGATCACACTATATTGCTCTCTGTGACTTACACATGCATTCAAGCAGCTTTGTAGTGTCTCAGCTTTGTAATGTATGCTTCAAGCACAAATTAAGCTCATCTAATATACAGGCACCAGCTTAATTTGAAGTAGAATCAGGTTATGGTAAAACAACTCATATTCTGCAGTCAGTATAGACTAAGACAAGTCTTAAATAAGCTGTCTTTCTCACTGTGTACATTAGATTATGTCTTTTGTATGTCACTACAGCCCTTGAGACATTCTACATCTCTCAGCTAAAATCGTGTTGCTTAAGTGTTATTTGTTACAAGAGTAACTTCAGTAAATAATATGCTTACATTGAAAAGCACTGATGATGAATGGTTAGTTGCAGCCCAGATAAAACCATTAGAGCTCAAGTGATCAATTCTAAACTATATTTAGTGCTTATTTAGAAGTGTTTTTCCCAAGAACACATTACTCCTTTTATTTTTGTGTGTTTTGCTGCTCAGATGTCAGCAAAGGAAAAGGAATCATCCAATAAAGAGGTGACGTTGCTGTCAAAGATGAAACATCCAAACATTGTCACCTTCATCCGGTCCTTTCAAGGTATGTGTGGGCTTCAGAGTAGAAGATGTAATGTATCAGTTTATATCAGTGTTAAAGTGTTTTCTGGATGTCTGTATAGAGAGAGGCAGCCTTTATATAGTGATGGAGTACTGTGACGGAGGAGATCTGATGAAGAAAATCAACATACAGAGAGGAGTTCCTTTCACTGAGGAGCAGGTATACCTCACCCTGGCCTTAGCTATTTGATAAAGGCTGATCAGATTTTCCTCACTGTGATAGTTTTGCACTGAAATATGTTCACAAACACACTGAAGGACATTCAGTCTCTGTTATTACTGCACGCAAGAAATAACAGTACAAACACACATCGATCAGACATAACATTATGACCACTGAGAGGTGAAGTGAATAAGACTGATTATCTCTTCATCATGACACCTGTTAGTGGCTGGGATATATTAGGGAGCAAGAGCCCTCAAGGTATAAGGTTTGGAGAAAAATTGTGATGGCTAGATGACTGGGTTAGGGCATCTTCAAAACTGCAGCTCTTGTGGGGTGTTCCTGGTCTGCAGTGGTCAGTACCTAATCAACAGTGGTTCAAGGAAGGGACAGTGGTGAACCAGCTACAAGGTTATGGATGCGTGTGAAGAACGAAGGCTGGGCTGTGTGATCCAATCCAGCAGACAAGCTACTGTAGCTCAGATTGCTTAATGTTAATGCTGGTTACATACAGTGGCTTGCAAAAGTATTCGGCCCCCTTGAACTTTCCCACATTTTGTCACATTACAGCCACAAACATGAATCAATTTTATTGGAATTCCACGTGAAAGACCAACACAAAGTGGTGTACACGTGAGAAGTGGAACGAAATCATACATGATTCCAACATTATTTACAAATAAATACGGTAACTGCAAAGTGGGGTGTGTGTAATTATTCAGCCCCCTTTGGTCTGAGTGCAGTCAGTTGCCCATAGACATTGCCTGATCCCTAATGACTAAATAGAGTGCACCTGTGTGTAATCTAATGTCAGTACAAATACAGCTGCTCTGTGACGGCCTCAGAGGTTGTCTAAGAGAATATTGGGAGCAACAACACCATGAAGTCCAAAGAACACACCAGACAGGTCAGGGATAAAGTTACTGAGAAATTTAAAGCAGGCTTAGGCTACAAAAAGATTTCCCAAGCATTGAACATCCCACGGAGCACTGTTCAAGTGATCATTCAGAAATGGAAGGAGTATGGCATAACTGTAAACCTACCAAGACAAGGCCGTCCACCTAAACTCACAGGAGTTTGCAGCCAAGAGGTCCATGGTGACTCTGGACGAGCTGCAGAGATCTACAGCTCAGGTGGGGAACTGTCCATAGGACAACTATTAGTCGTGCACTGCACAAAGTTGGCCTTTATGGAAGAGTGGCAAGAAGAAAGCCATTGTTAACAGAAAACCATAAGAAGTCCCGTTTGCAGTTTGCCACAAGCCATGTGGGGGACACAGCAAACATGTGGAAGAAGGTGCTCTGGTCAGATGAGACCAAAATGGAACTTTTTGGCCAAAATGCAAAACGCTATGTTGGCAGCATCATGCTCTGGGGGTGCTTCTCTTCAGCAGGGACAGGGAAGCTGGTCAGAGTTGATGGGAAGATGGATGGAGCCAAATACAGGGCAATCTTGGAAGAAAACCTCTTGGAGTCTGCAAAAGACTTGAGACTGGGGCGGAGGTTCACCTTCCAGCAGGACAACGACCCTAAACATAAAGCCAGGGCAACAATGGAATGGTTTAAAACAAAACATATCCATGTGTTAGAATGGCCCAGTCAAAGTCCAGATCTAAATCCAATCGAGAATCTGTGGCAAGATCTGAAAACTGCTGTTCACAAACGCTGTCCATCTAATCTGACTGAGCTGGAGCTGTTTTGCAAAGAAGAATGGGCAAAGATTTCAGTCTCTAGATGTGCAAAGCTGGTAGAGACATACCCTAAAAGACTGGCAGCTGTAATTGCAGCAAAAGGTGGTTCTACAAAGTATTGACTCAGGGGGCTGAATAATTACGCACACCCCACTTTGCAGTTATTTATTTGTAAAAAATGTTTGGAATCATGTATGATTTTCCACTTCTCACGTGTACACCACTTTGTGTTGGTCTTTCACGTGGAATTCCAATAAAATTGATTCATGTTTGTGGCTGTAATGTGACAAAATGTGGAAAAGTTCAAGGGGGCCGAATACTTTTGCAAGCCACTGTAGATACATAGAGCATCACAGTTTGTGTGCGGGGCTGGATAGCTGCAGACCAGTCAGGGTGTCCGTGCTGACTCCTGCCCACCACCGAAAGTGGCAGGAATAGGCACGTAAGCATTAGAACTAAACCATGAAGCAATGGAAGAACGGGGTCTCATTGGACAAATCATGTTTTCTTTTACCTCATGTGGCTGCCCGGGTGTGTGTGACTCACTTACCTGGGCGAACACCCGGCAATAGGATGCACTATGGGAAGAAGGCAAACCAGTGTTATGCTTTGTGAAATGTTTTGCTGGGAAACGTTGGGTCCTGTCATCCATGTTAATGTTACTTTGATATGAGATACCTACCAACGCATTATTGCAGACCAACCACACCATTGAAACAGTACTCCCGGATGGCCTTTTCAGCAGGATAATGTGCAACAAAACAAAAATGGTTGCAGAAATGGTTTGAGGGGCACAACAAAGAGTTTTAACATGTTAACTCAGCCTCGGAATTCCCCAGATCTCAAACCAATTGGACATTGATGTCTCTGTGAGGCATCAAAGTTTGTCCAGCACATCTGGATGTGCTGGACAAACAAGTCCAATCCAAAGAGCCTTCACCTCGCAACTTAACAATTAGAAGATTTGTTGTTGGCATCTTGCTGACAGATACCACAGCACACCTTCATGCCTCGATGGGTTGTTAGGCTGAGTTGTTTTGGCAGCAAAAGGGGGACCAACATAATATTAGGCAGGTGGTCACATTGTTATGCCTAATCGGAACATTAATTGTGGAGGTTTTCATTTATATTCTTCATTAGGTGGTAATTTGCTCTCTATCCATATGAAAATGCCCCAGTAATAAAACAGAGTTGCGTGTTTCTTAGATCGTCGACTGGTTTGTTCAGATCTGTCTGGGCCTCAAACACATCCATGACCGGAAGATTCTCCACAGAGACATCAAAGCTCAAGTATTTAACCTGCTTCACTACAGCCTGCAATCACATATAAAGCTAATTCATTCAAAACAAGCTGTTCTGTCTGTGTTCAGTATTTGTAAACTATTTTGAACTTTTCAATAAATTACACAAAACAGGTGGCCTTATATAGTAATGGTGTTTTTTCAAATAACAGTGATCAAACTTGCACATGCATTCACCTCCTCATGAACAGTTATGTTTTTATGATTTACATATAGATTTTGAACTAAGATGTGAAAGAAATGCACGAGACCTGTTATTTATTTCTGTAGTCTGTGTCCTGACAACAATCAATGTAAGTCTGATTATCATTTTTAAAGACAAGGATTGTGATCACAGTCACCTTTCAGAACCAAACTGAACAAGTACCATCACTTTACCTGAGCTTTACAATGCAGAGTTTACATCATGCATTATATTCATTATTGGACATTTACATGGTAAACATTACCCACAGAGACTGAGGTTGAGTTTTATAATTATCTAGTGTTATCATTGCACAGTATTGTACAGCTGAACTGTCCAGAGATCAGCTTTGCATTGAACAAAGACCTTGCTGTATGCCAGCTCCAAGAATATCTCAAAACAACTGACCACAGACTACTCATGGCCATCACTGTCTATCATCAGTCTTATCCGTTTACACACACACAATGTTAGTGCCATCCTTGTTGAACACAGACATCCTTTCATTCTTGCTCTCCCTCTGGTCTAGAATATCTTCCTAACCAACGGAGGGATGAAAGCGAAGCTGGGTGACTTTGGAATTGCAAGAATGTTGAATAAGTAAGTCAGTGTCATCTTCACACACACACACACACACAGTGCAGCTGTCTGTCGCTGAGCCCTCTGTAAAACATGGATGACTTCCAAACAACTGATTATCATTCCACAAACTGTCGTCCCGGACATGTAAACAAATGGCTGTGGAAATAATGGTCTGTCTGTAGTTTTTTTGGCTGCTTGCAGAGAATGATAAAAACACATCCATGTCCTGTAAATAACAGTCTGTGCATGCAATAATTTTTAGACATGACTGAAAATAGCAAACATGTTTAAAAATGTTTCAGCAATTGGACGTTTGATGAACATTTGGGCAGAAAATCATGGCTCGCAGAGAATGAGTCCTAATGCCGAAGAATATTCTTTGACTGATTTTCATGAGAGCCACCAGCAGGTTTTGATTTACGCTTTGTAGGAGTTCAGCCAGCTTCCACTTGTACGACTGACATTCATTTATCCTTTAGCTTCACTTCAAGATCACTATCTGGTGTTTTTCATAGATTTGCAGGAGAGCTGAGAGAAAATACAGAAAAAAAATAACTACAAATTAATTTTTTATTCTATAAAAATATATTTTACTGATACACAATAAAATTAAATTAGCCAGACAACTCTACATCTCTGAACTGAAAACCAGTTTAATACTGCTTTTCTATATTCATCCACTGACAAACTACTTAATCTCTCCAAAACCATACCAACTGAATTTCTTTCAATAAATAAATGTGACAAATTTCTTTCTTTCTACAAGAGCAATGTTCATGATATCAAAGGTAATATCTTAGTCTGTTACAGTAATTTACCTAGCAATGCCTCATATTCTCAGCTTTAAATTTTAAAGATCAGGAAGGAATTATTCATCAAGTCCTACACCTTGTTCCTTGACTCCATTCCCATGAAACTATTCAAATTTGTAGCTCATGTTTTACAAATCATTTAGTCAGTATCAATAGTTCTCCACATACTGGCATCTTCCCTGTTTCTCTAAAATATGTAATAATCACACCACTATTTAAGAAAAATAATATTGACATAATTTCCCTTTTCTAATATTTTATTCTTCCCTTTCACAAAATTTGGAAAATTTGTTTACAAACAACTGAGTAAATATATATTTAACAGTCTTTATGATAAGTACCAATCAGGGTTCAAATCCACTCAGAGCACAAAAACGTATGACGCCTTTTGTATGGCCTGCTTTAACAACGTACTAACCTTATTTACAATCAATATTGTATGGATGTAATAATGGTGCTAAAGATACAGAGGGCTGTTAAAAAATAAAAAGAACATCAATAAACATCAATAATGGCTCACAAAGAGTCTGAGTTTTAGTTCTATCTGAACTCACTCCTGCTTTCAGCACCACGACTGTCACAGATTAGTAGGCAGAGGACTCACTCGCAGGACTCTGAAGTTTAGAGAGAAGGTGAGGATTTATTTGCAATGTGACACCAAGTGAGAATATATACATATATACAGTGGAACAGATAACGCGGGGCTCCAGGGAGTAGGGCGGCGTCCGAAGGGAAGGTCCAAGACGGGGGTACACACACGCTCTTCTTCCACTTGATCCGTAACTCAAAAATGTCCACACTAAGAAGCTCACGCTCACTCACACACATCCACAGAAATCCAGACGGCAGGGAGTCTAGAAGGCCTGTACACAGAGGAAAAAACAAAGTCAGGAGGAAACTCTA